TCTTCAACATTGGGGAAGCAAGAACTCGTCACCGGTCAACAGCGGTAACACTCTCAAAAACACTGATTTGCTAAAGAAATCCAATCATTAGCTTTCTATGATTTCCCTCATTTTGGATTTAGCTGATTTCTTCTAGGTGGTATGAAGGCTGTTAATTTTCCTTTATTCCTGTATTTCTAGTAGCAGATTTGATTAGATTTGTAGTCAGCACCTCTCCCCGCCACCCCACAAGAATACTTCATAGGCAGGCAAATGTATTTCCTATTATAGAACGTTGAACTGGACGGGCCCTTGCATTCTTTCATACTTCTGGGGTCTTCAAAATGGCAACCTGATTTAAGTGTTGACATCTCGACAGTCACAACTCACACAGCTTTCATTAAGATACACACACACACATTTATTTATTTATTTATTCATTTATTTACTCTCTCAGTATTCTGCAGATAACGAAACTAAAGTTTAGAGCGTTTGATTCATCCGACCCAGTTGGCAAAATGACTTTGTACGTTTAAGGGGGAATTAGAATTCCGATTTCCTAGTCCCTTCCCGGTCTGAGCGCCTCCACTTCCGGCTCTCACAGAAGCCTCAGGGCACCAACCAGCAGGAAGGAAGCCCTCTTTCCCTGTCCCCTCCTGCAGGCACCTCGCTTCTCTTGTCCCGCCCCACAAGGTCTGAGGTCGAATCCCGGCGAGCCCCAGGGAAACCACACTTCCCAGAGTGCACTGCGACCGGTGGAGTCCTCCAATCGGCGCTCGCCGGCAGGGGCCATTTCCGTAGAGAGGAACGGCGGAGCGGCCTGTGTCCATGGCGCTGTTCCCAGCCTTTGCGGGCGTTAGTGAGGCCCCCGATGGTGGGGGTTCCAGGAAAGGTGAGCACACAAAAAGGTTGAAGAAAGCACCCGGCGAGGTTAAGGCCAGTCTCTCGGGCCCGGGTTGCGTGTATTGTCTTAGGTTTGTTTACCCGTTTGTATCCCAGAGTTCTCCGCGCGTTGCAAAGCCTTCTGGGAAGGGCTCCGCGCTTTGCCCGGGGTGTGGGGCTCGAGGGCGCCTTCGGGGGCGAGGGTTGTCGAGTTTTGGAAGGAGGAGGAAAGACGGAAAAGAGGCTATGGGGCTAGGACCAAGATATTGTCGGACTTCTTTCTTTCTCCGAGCGTCACTTAACCTTTAAAATGACGGTGCTCCACATTGCAAAGAGACTCCCGATGCAAATGCTGGATATTCTTACATATTTCCACCTTTAATGTTCTATTTATTTGTAAGATACTTGTTGAATTTCTGTCTTTTGGCAGACCTAGAGCTAAGGATTGGAATCCAAAGACTAATCAGGTTCTTTCCAAATGGACGTAGCTAGTCGTGAAAAGAATAAAATGTTCTTGAGGGTTTACTGTGTGTCTCGTTGTAGCCCTACATTATTTTGTTTAAGCCCTTAAACATCTGAAGAGGGATGCATTGTTAAAAATTGAGACACACAGTGAATTTATTTAAAAAACAATCCTACACTGGACACCGAGGCGCGCGCCTTAATCCCAGAGGCTCGGGAGGCTGAGGCAGGAGGACCGAAAGTTCAAAGCCAGCCTCAGCAATTTCTCGAGGCCCTAAGCAATTTAGCAGGACCATGTGTCAAAATTTAAAAAGTCCTGGGGATGTGGCTTAATGATAAGCCTCTGGGTTCAATTCCTGATACCAAAAGGAAAAAAAGAAAAATTAAAAAAAAGGACAATCCTAAGTCATGTACTTCATGTGAAAGGGCCCAATTGTGAGTAAGATGTGTCAAAAAAAAAAAAAATTACAGCAAATTTAAAGATCTTATTTGGCTTTTATTCCCGAATTTATAGTCAGGTAGCACTCAGAACCAGAACAGGTCCAAAGAACTCCTGAGATGCAACTGGTCAGAAACATTTATGGATAGAAAGTGGAATTGAGGTACAACCACAACTTAAATGGTTACAGCTCAGTGTTTTATCTTATTGGAGTCAACTGCTCCCTGCAGGTGACTTAACTCAGCTACTGTGATTGACTAAGATTCAAGTATTTGTTAGAAGAGTGTACTCTTTACCCCTAAATTAGATTTTCCTTTGGCCTACCAAGGCAGGTTATAGTTTACCACATAAGGATGCACATATCTGAGGCATTTTTAGCTTAAACTTAATTTAACACACCTCTTTCTATCCTCTCTTAGCTCCTAAACTTCTCTTTTTGTAACAGTTCTTAACATTTGTAGTTTCTTATGTGGTTAATGTAATCTTTATTAGACTGTAATCAATAAGGCCAGGGAAATTGTCTCTACATTGTAGTATACTTTATACTTAGCTAAGCCACTTAGCCATTTGCTAGCAACTAAGAATACAGTAAGTGTTCAATAAATATTTGCTAGAATTACTCAGAATTAATGTGTTGCATAAGGGAACCTAAAAAATAACAGTACAAAGTAGGATGTTGTAGACGTCAGAGGTGAACCATAGCAATAACAACTTCTAATGGAAGATTCAAAGAAGGCTTTTTATTTTTATGTAGGAGCTAACTTTGGGACCGTCCTCAAGAGAGTAGGATTTGGGCAAGTAGAGATTGTGGAAGAGTATTCCAGAGTCTTGAAGAACCTGAGGAGGAAAAGCATGAGACTTGTGCATAGAACTGCAAATAATCCAGTTAGTGTGGAAATATGATTGGGCTGGTGATAAGAGAGTATAGTGACCTTTAAACAAGATGAGGGTGTATTTTATTTTGGGAGGGAAATTGAAGGTTTATTTATTAAAGGTTTATCTTAACTAGTATTTATTGTACATGCTCTGGGTATCCAGCATCAGGATAATGTATGGAAAAGTGCTTTTCATAAAATATTTTTTAAAAATTTAAACTAGATTATTACTTATAGTGAGATTAACTGTAATTTCTTAGTATCATTTAACTATGAAAAAGTGTTCAGTTTTCCCAAGGTGTCTTCATATGGCCTTTTATACTTGGTTTATTTAATCAGGATCCAGAAGTCAGGCTCCACATTGCATTTTATGAATATGTCTATTTCAGTATAAAACAATTTCTTCATATCTTCTTTATTCTCGGGTGACTTTTTTGTAAAGGAAACTGGGTTATTTGTCTTGAAGACATTTTCCACCACATCTTCATGATGTCATTTAATGCTTCTCTGTTTCTTATAAGCTGGCAATTAGATCTAGAGAACAATTAGATTCAGGAATAATCTCTTTTGTGGAAAACACCTTGCACTTGATATTATATTGGGAAGGTAAGCTATATAGTTTTCTCTTTTAGTGATAGTAAGATTTCACTGGTCTGGCCCAAAATAGGGATGGGGATGAGGCTCAGTGGTTGAGTGCCCCAGAGTTCAACCCCCAGTACTAAAAAAAGAAAGATTTCATTGGTGGATTCATATATTTGCAACCTCTTTCTTTCATTAGGAAGCTGCCCATCAACCTTTCACCTAATGATTTTTGCAATCATCAGTTGCTAACTGATTATTTTCTAGTTTTTTCATTACTCCTATATTAGCATCAGCCATTCCTTAGAGAACTCTTGAGTACCATAAAATACGATTCAGGCAAGATTTGACAGGATGAATACTTGATTCATTTCCTTTGTCAGTTTGCAGAAAGAAAAGTTGGGTCCTGGTAACTTCTAGAGGTTACCATTGAGTTTTATTATTATTATTATTGTTTTTGTACCAGGGATTGAACCCAGGGTTGCTCAATCACTGAGCCACATCCCCAGACCTTTTTTATTTTATTTAGAGACAGAGTCTTGCTGAGTTGCTTAGGGCCTTACTAAGTTCCTGAGATTGGCTTTGAACTTGGAATCCTCCTGCCTCAGCCTCCTGAGCCACTGGGATGACAGGTGTGCACCACTACACACAGCCCAAATTATTATTTTAAAAATCACTTGAAATAATTCTTTTGAGTGGCTTTGCTACCACTTTTTAAAAATTTTTTAACTTTTAGGTGGATACAGTATCTTTATTTTATTTTTATGTGGTGCTGAGGATCGAACCCAGTGCCTCACAGGTGCTAGGAGAGTGCTCTACACCACTTGAGCCACAACCCCAGCCCTTTGCTACCACTTTTGATACATAGATATGTTGGTTATATTTTCAGTTTTTAGGGAATGCTTTTTCTTCTTTTTCATTTAATTGTGTTCTATAATGATGGTACATATTATAAAGATGAAAATATAAATCAGTTATATTCAGAGAAAGAAAGCTTCTGGATCCTGATTAAGTAAACCAAGTATAAAGTTCTTTTCCTTCCCCCACAAGTTAACATTTTCCATTGGTCAGTGTTATCCTTCCATTTTTTCTGCCTTAATGTAACTAACTACATTTGCCTTCTCTTTCCTAACCACTTAGTATTCTGTATTTTATCTTAGATCCGGAAGATGGCTCTTATAGCAGAGTGTAGAGAGCTTCCTTATTGGTGTCCCAAACTCCATTGTCTGAATGGCAAATGCTTTATTCAGCCAGTTTTCCATTAAAGACATTTGGACTGCTTCTAGTGTTTCACTATTATAAGTAGAAGCACTGTGATTTTTGCCTTACACTATAAAATATTATAAAAAAGATGTAAGCTTTTAAAAATCACTTGAAATAATTCTTTTGAGTGGCTTTGCTACACATTGCCACTCACTGGTCTAAATACTCGACAAATACTAACTCATCTCAACAAATACTAACTCATTGACCTCTCATAACAACCTTATGAAGTTGGTGCTGTTCTTTGCATTTTTATGGATGAGGAAATGGAAGCCAGAGCTAGAGTAACTTGCCCATGGATTGGAACTCAGGAGGTTTAGCTTCCAAGGACCTGCTCTTCTTTTGAACACTACATCTGATTTTGTCACTATTGCTCAAAACTCTCAGAACGTCCATCCATTGTTGTTAGGGTAAACTCGAACCACTTTTTTTTAAAGCCCAATCTCCCCACCTTCATTTTGCCCCCACTTTCCCTCAGCCCCAGTGGTCTAGCCAGAGAGACCATGCGTTCTCACGTTCAGACCTTTCTATAACCAGTTTCCTCTGCCTGGACACTTCCCAGGAACACACTTGCTTACCTCATCAGCTTTTAGATCTTAGCAGAGATGTTCTCCAAGGCAACTTTCCCTGGTTCAAACCTTGTCTGTATTTGGTAACCTATTGAAATCCTCTGATTATACCTGGTGTGTTTTCTGGAGCTTGGCCTTTATCATACTGCATGGTGACCACCAGCATGTGAAGGTAGTATTGGGTTTATTTGGTTCTTTTGTATTCCTAGTGCCCAGAACAGAATATGGCTTTTAGTTTAAAAAAAAAAAAAAAAAAGTTACTGAAGGAAAAAAAGACTGAGGAGGTTAAGCATTTTGTTCAGAGTTGTACAACTAATGAATGGTAAGGTAAGTTTGAACCCAGATCTTTCTGACTCCAGAACTTGGGTTATAAATCGGGCTGGGCCGTGTTGGAGGCCATGTTCAATATTACAGGGTTGTTTAAACATTCTCTTTGGAATTCCTGAGCCTTTTCAAACCATAGATTAACGTCCATGGAAGGATTGACTTGGCTCCACTGTCTGTCATCACCATCCTGACACAGCTGCCAGCCATGTTTGCTAGTACTCTTTATACAAGTTCAGTTTGTGCTCTTGGATTGTCAGAAAATAAGGGGTTTGATCAAAACAAAGAGCTTGATTTATTCTTTTAAGAGCAAACATCTTCCTTAATATATGTGCTAATTTATTTAATGCATTCAGCCCTAGAAATGTTTTTTAGATTATCATCTCTGGGGTGACACTCATCTTTTGAGTTCACTGAAACTAGTAATCATTGCTATTTTGTAGTAAAAGAATGTAGAGTGGGTATAGAACTGGGATATTTTATCCAATTATAATGCAAA